CATGAGTTCACATAATTCATTATTGTTTTGAATTATCTACTTTTAGGCATATAGCTCTCTATTATACAGGATGTAGTGATAGATCAGGGAAGTCAAATTGACTTGATTTGATACGTAGTAATACAACATTAGACTAATAGTAAATAAGCATTCCATTAATTTCTTATTTGTGCTGTTATAAAGCATGTAAAAGTTGCTAGAGTGGTACTATCTATCACAATCTATCAAAGGAAGTCCTGGAAACAATCATCAACAATATTCTTCACTTCTCTCATTTTGACAAATGTTTTGGCTGTATGGGGTACTATCCAATGAACATTGTTGCAATAGATCTAGTTGTTGAAGAGGGGATATTTGGCAGTAAATATATATATACTTCTGAAGAAAGAATCATAACTTGTATAATTTCAGCATTAATCATACAGTTGAATACTGCAGTTACTACTGAAACATTAGCTGCTATATCATTTGAGTATCTTTTTATTATAAAACCACATCTTCACAAGTGGTTCATGAGACTCTGGGTAGCACTGACCCTCACCATTGCTATATGGATTTAGTGCATTTTGTTATTTTGTTGCTTATGATGCCATTACTTGGTTTTACAGAATATAGCTAGAGATGAGTTTTCATATAGTCGCTGCATTCCAATGTTAATTAAAAGCCCAATTTACAGCCTTTACACATAATTTTTATCATTATATTTATTGTCACATCAATCTGGACATTCTGCATCACTTGTAGGTCTATTAATGATCAATCAGAAATAGTCAGAGATACCTAGTGTTTATACATCATGAAAGGAAAGGCTTTTTGGAATATTTGAATCAATGCTCCTTGGATATTCATTTTGCTATGGACCAACTTACATGATGCTCATGTTATATCCAGTAGTTGAGATTGATGAAATAGTTTAGGCTGCAGACCTGGTTACGTTTCACTTAATCACTATTGCAAGTCCACTTATTCAAACATACTTCCAACCAGATATTAAAAATGCTCTGATTTAGTTTATTGTGTCACAGATTAAAAAGAGGCTTCATTTATCATCTCAAAATGAACAATAATATGAGTCTGTTTTTCTTGTCTAACTTCCCCTTATTTCTTGTAAATTTTAACTTTATGCTTCATAGTTTTATTATTTTCATATAATGTTTGACTCATTTTGTAGTATATAGAGCTAGGTAGATTTATTTGATGAAATTATTAAATGTTACATCCATAAATCATATTGGAGTTCTTTTGCCATTTTTCACTCATAAAATCATTTGAATCATGTACAATGCATCATCCTTTGTTAAAAATGATTGTGTTGCATAACACATATTACAAAGGTCACAGATGTTTATAGTGATATGATCCATGACCTCATTATTAAGTTAAAAGTACAGGAATGCATGTCAAGCCAAACAACTTCCTGTACACCCACATCAAAAATTCCCCATAATATATTCTTAGACCTGCAGGCACTGCAGCCTGGCTAGTCCAGACCCACCAGCCAAACTGCAAGTACTCTAACTGCTTCAGCTGCAGTATTACATTTGTACATCAAAATTCAAAATTATGTAGAATAAGCTACTAATTGACTCCCATTCTAAAAGTGAGAGTGGAAACAGAGTTATTGCATTATAACTATGACAGATACCACAATAGAAACCATACAAGGCTGAAGTGAGGAGGAGTACATAGTGCCACAACTGAGGTCATATAGATCATTCATTCATTATAGTCACTGCCTCCAGACTTTAGTTTAGCAACAATGTCAATTTCAAGTGAGAACAACTTTACTATCAATGATGATGTTAATGGTCCTGTACTTGCTGCTGTGTTTGCCACTGAGATGATTCTAGCTCTGATAGCTAATGGTGCTGTACTCCTCATTACAATCACTCAGAGGAATTCCTGGAAGCAATCATCAACAATATTCTTCACTTCTCTCATACTGGCACATCTTGTATTGACTCTACTGTACCTTCCTTTTAATATTATTGCATTAGCTGCTGGTGAGTGGATCTTTGGTAGTACAGATGAGGAGAAAAGAGGTTTCTGTTCATTTATTTCCTATACACTGTGGTACAGTATTCCTGTAATCACCATAACACTAGCTGCTATATCATTTGATCGGTTTCTCTTTATTGTCAAACCACATCTTCACAAGCGGTTCATGAGACCCTGGGTAGCACTGACCCTTACCCTTGCTATATGGATACTGTCTGCTGTAACGACTTTTACTCCATTCATTGAAGGATCTGGTGCTGTTTTTATGTATGAAGGAAGTCACGGTACATGTACAGTAGTAATACTGGAGCTTCACTTTGCCATATTTTCCTTTGTGGGATCATTACTAGTAGTGGGTATTATCACTGTCACCTCAGTCTGGACCTTCTGTTTTGCTCGCAAGTTCATACACAATCAGTCAGAGATAGCAGGAGACCATGTCTATGCATCTAGAAAAAAGAGACTGTTTGGAATATTTGGGGCTATGTTAATTGTGTATGGGTTGTGCTTTACCCCTGGTATCATCAACTATGTTGTGGTTCGAGCAATTGTTGTAGCAGATGAAATATATTTGGCTGTCGTTATCTCATTTATTTTCGTCACTGTACTAAGCCCCATTGTTCAGTCTTATTTCAGACCAGAAATTAAGAATAAAATTGTTTGTATATGTAGGAAAATTTTACAAAAGCCTCCTCAGAGGGATAGTGTCGATTATCTTGGGAATTCTAATAATGATTCATCTGGGAGCAAGACAGAAACAAACCAAATTAGAACCTCTGCACAGTTAACAATGAGTTTAGATTGTGTGTTGAATACAGAACATTTATCAACAACCGTGGTATAAGGAAGATGCTTGAATTCAATTTATCAATCTTATTAAAAGTCTTTTATCTATGTAGGATGTAGCTAGTGAAACTTTATTAAATCACTATACTTTGTTTTATACAAAAAGGAAAATCTAATTAAGATTTGTAGTAAAACCATAAAGATGCCAGATAAAGATTATGCAACAATACAGTGATGTAATGCACTTCGTTAAGGCCTCCATACACTGGGCAACATGTTGCTAGCAACATGTTGCCTAGTGTATGGAGGCCTTAATGCTGTACTGTTTGGTCTGTTTGGGTACTGTTTGTTTACCCTACCCACGAGGTCCACAATAACTGTTCTACTTTCATAAGGTCTTTTTGTTATTCAGTATATTCAATTGTGTCCTCATAATAAGACTGTATTTTTTATTGAAGCTGATTTCTTTTAAATGTAGAGTTTTAGTCTAATAAATTTTATTTAATTATCAAATAACTTCAACTAGTAAGTTATGAGCCCAGTGCATCTACATGGCAGAGAATGATCAGTTGTCCCTCTGATCAGCAGCATGCAACTATGCTACATGGAAGGTTCAGTGTCAAATTGCCTGAAGGCCTGTGGAATAATGTCAATGGCACTGAGAATGTACCTATGGGTGATGATGGTCAAATTACAAAATCCTACACCTGGATGCACTCATCAGGATAGTATTGGCTATTTAGCTGTTGCTGCTTTATCTGATGGAAAATGTAATGATCCTTCATGGGACCACTATAAGCATCAACAATAGGCTTAAAACGACTCCAAAATTTTCTAAAAACTTTGAAATTTGAAAGATACTTCAAGTAGAAACAATTAAGTAGAAGGAACAGTGTGTATGGTGTGACAAAGAAAACAGTCACCAATAGGGCAAATCCAAATAGTCCAGCATGCTTCCCTTTAGCATATTCAACATTAGGATCCTCATACCATAAACTAACTGATCTTACTGACTCACTTGTACAGCGAAGAGTTACCTCACGCTTGTGTAGTACAATAACAATAGTATGTACTAGTTTAGTAAATGAGAGAAAAGTAAGTGTAGATAGAACAGGAACAGCATGAGATCCCATCAGTCTTGATATTTTACCATATCTCTTACACAATTGTATAATGATAATGATAATAATCAACGGGTAGAGAGGGAAAGCAAACTGGAGCCATTGTTTAGCGTAACTGTCCATACCATTGTAAAAACATATCTCAAACCCAAAGTCTAAGTTAATCCATGATATGACTTGACTCAAGACTGCATGGTAATGATCCTTTCTTTGAAAAGACTGGCTCATATAACTTCACAACGTTAGCATAGAACAATAGACAATTGAGTGTACCCACTGATACTGTTAAATTGAGAGCAATCAGTAGAACCACCAGTAGTACACCCATCACTGCAAACAGAGCAATCCAAGCTATCATCGTATAATTATTATGGCAATGTCCACACTTGTTTGATCCCATTAGTAGACTGTATCCCTCTGTACACGATCCACACATCCTCTGTCCTCTATTATCCACACATTGAGTATCAGTGTCATTTAACTGAAAAGTAACAGGATTAGGAGAACAATAGAGGAGACAGTCCTTATTGATAGTGCATGTATTAGAATTGGTTGCATTAGCATTGAAAGGTGCACTGGTATCATATGTTCCAATCCACAGTAGACCATTACGTGCAATGTTTAGATTATTTATATCACATGTCGCATTCTCTCTTGAAACACTTCGACTGCAAGTACAAGAACCTTGTGACTTATCTAACCTGAAACCAATGGGACACTCATTAACAATGAAATTAAGATTAATAAATACTTGAGCTTTCAGTCCCGAAGGAGGAAAAATTACTAAATAACTTTGATATCCTGTTCGAGTCAGTTTAGGTGTGTATACAATCAATAAAAAGGATTTGGAATATGTCTGATTGAGCAAGCTACTGATGTTAGTAGTAAATATTTGTACTGTACCATCTGTGGGTAATTGAGTTAAAGTAATTCATGAATTGTTATTGGAACTCACAGGATAATTGCAATTATCCTGTGAGTTCCAACATAACAATTCATGCCTTGGAAGCAAGTTTGAAACAAACCGAATGATGAGAGTATCAACACAGTTAACAACAATGAGTTTGATGATGTAGTGAACACTGAAATTTGAACTGAATTTAATAATCTAGATTTATAATTTAAAGTGTTTTATCGATGTATGACGTAGATATCTAGAGTTACTATATTGTCTGTTATAATTATTGCTATGTTTTATATTACTATATTTTTACTATATATTTACTATACTGTCTGCCCCACAAACTTTCCGCCTTGAGAGAACTTATTCCAGATTTGGTGTTTTAGACAGTTCTGACAATACTGAAGCCTTAGTGGACAGCAACTGTCAACAAGTGGGAAGTTACAACTGCATTAATAATCCATTCGTCATGAATTGTCAGATAAAATTGTTTACATTACTTTGAGACAGGTGACTCTCTACTCCTCTTGCTATTACCGACAGGAAGATAATAGTGGCATCAGTTGTATAGATCAAGGAAGTCATCATAAGGAGTTGATTTGATAGTATAAACTTGCTAGACTAATAGTAAATAAACATTCCATCAATTTCCTATTTGTGCTTTTATAAAAACATGCGAGTTGCTCAGTAGTAAAACTAAATCTGTTAGTTGGAGGTAGATCTAACAATGGAGGGCAATTTTACTTTTACTGGTGATTTCAACACTCCAGCTGTAGCAGCAGTTCTTACTGTTGAGATGATACTAGCTCTGATAGCTAATGGTGTGGTACTATCTATCACACTCTATCAAAGGAAGTCCTGGAAACAATCATCAACAATATTCTTCACTTCTCTCATACTGGCACATCTTGTATTGAATCTACTGTACCTTCCTTTCACTGTCATTGGATTTGCTGCTGGTGAGTGGATCTTTGGTAGTACAGATCAAGTGAAAAGAGGTTTCTGTAAGTTCAATGCCTATATACTGTGGTACAGCATCCTAAATATCATTATGATGCTTGCTGCTATATCAGTTGATCGGTTTCTCTTTATTGTCAAACCACATCTTCACAAGCGGTTCATGAGTCAACCAAAAGTAGCACTGACCCTCACCATTGCTATCTGGCTGTTAGCTGCTGTATTGAGTTCTACTCCTTTTTTTGGCCTAGGAGAATTTGGTTATGAAACATGGTTTGGAGGCTGTCTCCCACTATGGACTACCATCGAATTTACTGTTTACACTATAATAGTTTGTTTGGTCATTATTTTTATAATATCTCTCACATCAATTTGGACTTTCTGTTTTGCCCGTCGCTTCCTGACTGATCAAAGCAGGCTGACAACCGAGAACAATGTTTACTACAGTTCAAAGAAGCAAAGACTAATTGGGATATTTGGAGCAATGTCATTGGTCTATCTCCTCTGTTTCTCTCCTGGCATCATCAGTGCTTTTCTAACACCACTAACACTAGTGCCATATGAAGTGATCGTTTTAGTCATTGTCACTATTGAATTGTTAACAATTGCAGGTCCTTTAGTTCAGTCTTACTTTAGACCAGATATCAATAAAGTTCTGGTTAGTCTGTACACTAAGATGAGACGTTTGTTTCGTAGGAACATGCAATCTGTTTGCAGTAATAGAGAGCTTGATACTAAAATTTCATACGTGTGATGTACACTAATCCGGAACTTAAATCTATAGTGACAGCTAAATTTTATTTTATTTTGTTTTGTTATTTCTGTAGCTAATGTTGAGTTTGTCCTACAGTATTTATTTATTTATTTATTTTTTACAAAAACATTAATTTTTAGAAATGAATATACAAAAGGGGATGAGCCTTTGCCACCCACCATGAAATGCCTGACCAGTTTGAAGCTAGGATGCGTTTGTTGGATGGGACGAAGAGCAGCATCCGACATAGTCACTTTGCACCCAAGCATCAGTAGTAAACACTGCTCTCTTTCACTGGAGCCGACTTCCGCTCCACCAGTGGCCAAGGACTTAGCAGACAAGGATTCTAAAGTCAAGGACGGTGACAGCGTGGCTATTAGCTCAAGCAGGAAGCTCATTGGTTGCACTATCACTGATCATAGCTCTAATGGGACTTGGGTGCTTAAGAAAAAAAGGAGACACCTACCTCAGGGTGCTTTGAAATTGAGGCGTGGGCGACCAACGAGAATCAACCATGGTGACATTATTTATTTATTAGCTCCCTCTCATTCGGACAGCTCTGGTTACAGGTATTGCCTATCAAATGGGCCGGGAAAAGGCGAAATTGTTGTATGTCAATTGGAAAAAGATGTAGATGAACGCCTTGGCAATGACAAAACTGAAATCAAAAACAATACTAAAGATGATGTAGCAGTTACGAACCCTAATAAAAGGAGATTAGAATTCATAGATCTGACTGTAGAGACAAAATCAAAGATGATACGTCTTGAAGAAGAGGAGAAGGAGGACAATGAAATTTTATTGGAAGACTTAGAAAAATGTCCGTTATGCTTAAAGGATTTCCCTCTCTCTGTCCTAGTAGAACATGTTGACAATTGCACTGACAATACTAGCATTGAAGGTGGAGCTACACACACAACTAGTGAGGATAATCCTGACTCTGAAGAAATGTTAGTATTCTAACTACTGTATAGATACAATATATGTCACATATACATAATCTGTACTGTAACTGCATCTTATAATTGATGCTGTGTATGTACATGTATTGTGTATAGTATATGTACATTCACACTTATACATATGCACTGTGCTTGTACATATACAGATTAGGCTGTATGTGTTAATCCCATCTTTATAGACCCATTGAGCTATCCAAATGTGTTTATTGTGCTGATGAGTATCCACTGACTGAACTTGTGCTTCATGTGGAGTCATGTGATAAAAAGAAAGTAGGTCATTATTATTATTATTAATAGTACTTTGAATATAAATTATACTTCCATAAAAATAATAATTTTAAACATATCTTTCTTCTCTCTATTTCTCTCTAACATTCTTAGAGTACAATTGATGCTTATAGTCACATAAGTCCTACTTCATCCCAAGAACCTTTAGAAAGATGTATGAAATGTTTTCAAGACTTTCCACTGAATAAGTTGATAGCTCATTCCTCGTCATGCACTGGTACAATACTAGGGACCAATGATGAGAGATTTAAAGACTTTGTACCATCAGTATATGATGTAAGTAGCCACAAATAATACAATGCTACACTTAATAAGTTATTCTTACACTAACACTAATGCACATTACTGCTATGTGTATTGACTTTCAGTAATGGGACATATGTAGTGACATTCAAACATTGATTCAATCTTTGAACTTCAGAATAAACACTAATATTGACTGACAAACCAGTGTAGATTATTTTGATGGTATGGCTTATTCTGTTGTTGTTATTTTTTTTAATTGATTATGCTTGTATGAAGTAAAAAAATAAACTCTCTGTTTTTAAGTAATAAACTGTTTCTAAATATATATTTACATTTGCCATTGGCAATGTGCTTTTTTGCATGCACATACCATAGCTCACAATTTTAAAAGCACGCGTACAAGCTATGCATTATAGTTAAGCGCTTTATATTCCATTGATTTTATGAATTTTGTCTCATAGCCAGTATGCCTGTCTTGTATTGGCTTCCTGATGACATTCAAGTGAATTAGCCTTTACTCTTGTGTTTACAATAAGTGTACACAATTGGATAACATGCATAGGATGCACACGTACAAGCTATGCATTATAGTTACGTGCTTTATATTCCATTGATTTTATGTATTTTTTCTCATAGCCAGTATTCCTGTCTTTTATTGGCTTCCTGATGACATTCAAGTGAATTTGCCTCTACTCTAATGTTTACAATAAGTACACAATTGGGCAACATGCATAGGATGCACTTCCTCTTATGGAGGAAAACAAAATCTCCCTCAAGTTAAAATTTTTATCCTTCTTTGCAGCCATTTTGTCTCTGAGCCCATTATTAGATTCTTTACTATTATATTGTAGTCTACATCATAGATATGTTAGCAATAAGGATGTGCAAGAAAATATTTATTGTAATTAATTAATTTTTTTAAAACAGGTTGATGCTCTGACACTGGTTGTCCTCACTCCCATTCAACAAAGAGCTGTTAATTATGTACAAGAAGTATCAAGGAAAGCAGCCTATGAAGAGTACCCGAGCCTCTGTGAGAAGGTAATCAAATTAGGATACACACCAAAGGACTTGCAGAAGTAAGCTCCACTATGCATACATGTATATGTACATGTACATGTACATGTACACAAGCATTGTGACTATGTATAATATAATACTGTAGGAAATAAACAGTCTATAGTACCGTATAGCGGGTAATTCTGAAGAGGGTAAATTTTGGCCAATTTGGCATTTTGATAGCCATATGCCAAATCAAAACCCACAACTTTGTACCATTATGTGCATGCTCAATGGTACATGACCACAAATTTGCTCACCAATTACCAAAATTTTAGCAATTTGCCAAAGTTTTCCCCCTCCAAAATTACCTGCTACTACGTATAGTTGATATTATTTACAGTGTGGGCGATTCTTGTTACATTAATAAGCAACACACTATATTATGGGAAATTGCGGAGGGAACTAATTTTGGCCAATTTGGCATTTTGATAGCCATACGCCAAATTAAAACCCACAACTTTGTACCATTATGTGCATGCTCAATGGTACATGACCACAAATTTGCTCACCAATTACCAAAATTTTAGCAATTTGCCAAAGTTTTCCCCCTCCAAAATTACCTGCTACTACGTATAGTTGATATTATTTACAGTGTGGGCGATTCTTGTTACATTAATAAGCAGCACACTATATTATGGGAAATTGCGGAGGGAACTAAATTTGGCGAGTTTTGGCATTTTGATAGCCATTTGCCAAATTAAAACCCACAATTTTGTATCAGTATGTGCATGCTCAATGGCACATGGCCACAAATTTGCTAAATTAGAACCCGCTAATTACCAAAATTTTAGCAATTTGCCAAAATTTTTAATTACCTGCTATAAAGTATACATGTACATGTAGGAGCCTCTTTAATGTATTTTTGCTACTTACAATGTATAGTTGATATTATTTACAGTGCGAGTCTCATTTTTGTTGCATTGTAAGCAACATAGTGTTATAGCATAATTTATTTCTAATTGTTTAGGGTCTTCCATTGGGTGAGGAGTAATGCTCCAATCATTATACACATCAATCTTGATAGGGTCCTCTCGTTCTTAACCAAAGACACACACTATCGTAATCTGTTTGAGATTGGGACAGGAGGAGGTTCCACTGATACTACAGCAAGACGCTCATGGGAGGTAAAGAGTAATACCGTACACGTCTTAATTTTCGAGGTGTATTAAATTTTGTAATTTTCGTGCTCACCTTAAATCCACGAAATTTAAACCACCTCTAATGCCATTCTATTGTATGTAGACTATGGCCAGAACACAAAAATTAGCTCACATGAATATTAACTTTTGAACAAATTTCATTGAAAACACGAAATTTTTAACCCTCGAAAATTTGAACATATACGGTACTCTTGCCACTAATCTCACGTATTCACTTTAAACATAATATAGTCTTTTTTTCAAAATCCTTTTATGCACTCCAAAATTATTATTACATTTTCTGTTACATATTGATTATATAGAAAGTTTGAGGTTTTTCCGATAAATACTTTTTGAATTATGGCTATTTTAAAAAACAGGACAATTTTCGGAAATATATCCAAGGCTATAGTCCATGGTTTTTTCAAAAAATGGCTAAAAATGACTCCAATTTTTATTACATTTTCTGATACACATTAATGTCCTTATGTTGTGTAAAAGTTTGAGTTGATTCCAATAAGAATTTTTTTGAGTTATGACTAATTTTAAAACGAGCCATTTTTAAAGAAACAGCAAAGGCTATTGCAGCCCATGCTTTTTTTGAAATTGACTCAAAAATTATCCCCAATTTTATTACATTTTCTGATACACATTGATGTACTTATCAGGCATGGGGTCAAGCACTTAGTGCTTGTACTTAAGTACAAATAAGCACAGCTTTCAAAGTACTTAGTGCTGCTTACAAGTACCTTTTCAATATAACCCGACCTACGGTAATCTATGTACTTTGTACTTGTACTTAATTACTTTTACAAATTTACAAAAGTGCTTTTAATCATAGCAAAAATTACACACGAATAGTGTACATGTACATGTACATGTACATGTACATCTACATGGTACATCTACATGTAAATCTATATGTCGATGTCATGTACATGTACCACTACATGTACGTGTGCATGTACATCTACATGTACATCTACCACTACATGTACATGTACATGTAGTATACATGTACAAGTTTTGTAGCACATTGTGTGATTGTGTGTTAGCTTGAAGAATGGTAATGGCATCACCATTAGTGGTATCACTCCAAAGCTCTCTGCTGTTTCCATTTATTATGAACAATTCACAGAGTTAGTGTTTATTAGATGCAATAGTAAATTAACTATAATTGTAATTTTACTTTATTTTTACACTTATTGAATATCTAGTACTTATTAATGTAATTAAACACTCTGAAAAATGCTTGTTCTTGTACTTAAGCACTTATGTTAAAGCTATAGATTGTGCTTGTGCTGGTACTTCTAACACATTTAAGTGCTTGTGTTTGTGTTTAAGCACATTTCCTAGTGCT